AAAAAAAAAAAAAAAAAAAGAGCCCAGTATCATAGTGACTTAAAGGAATGGAGGAAAGATAGAGTTTTTAGCAAATTGATTTTCCATTTTGGATTCATTTTGATAAATATGGAAATCTTTAAATTATCCTTCCCTGGTACAGATTGAATAAATTTGACAAGAGGTCTGTAGTTCTCTCTGTGTATAATTCCATACCTGAATGTAGTCCTGGGACTGTACATCAACCTTTGGTGATGACTGTCTACGAAGTATGGTCATTTGGTTGGACCTTTATGCTGTTTGGTTAAAAGTGCTGTTTTCACAACATCTGCCAGTCTTTACACTGAGTTTGGATGTTATAATTTCATATTGAACTTTTAGTGTTGATTTAATCTTGTCATCACTCATGATCTGTTTTTTTAAATACCTGTTAATTAAACTCCAAGTCATTAAACTTTAATGTGGGGATACTTTTCAATTTGGTTTCTAAAATGCTCAACAATTAAAAAAAAAAACAACAACTAAAGAACAAAGATAAGTTATTTTCCATTTTGGAACTATGGTGAATTAATTTTTTTTAAAAGGAGAGGGAGGCATGTTGGAAGTTACCATGATTTTATATTATGCCTTTGAAAATGGAGCCATGCGTTTGTTAATTATAAGTGAGTAGAAATACAGCCAGAGTCTGAATTTTGGAACTAAGTCTGGTTACAAACATGTTATTATGTCAGCCCATGTTGTTCCTTTTTGTCTTTATTCGAGTACTGGTGTTGCCTAAAATGCATTAAGACTTTATGCTTCCTGTTGTAATTTATCTTGATCATTTAAACTTGTTGTGAGTTATTGTGAAAGTCTTTTCTGCACTATGAAATGTATTAGCTTGAGAAACAGGAAACCATTGAGAGAAGATTCTACTCATCTTTGCTTTATACTCTGATTGATGAGAGTTGTGAGATACGAATTGCCTTGCTTAAAGAGGTGGAAAATAAGTTAACCATTTTAAACTTCAAAAAAAATCAGTCTTGTGCTTTTATGACTAAGATACACCTTATATAGCCCTGGCCTAAGAAAATTTTGTTTCTTTTCAGCTTGGCATTAGACTTGAAACCTACTTATCAATCCTGGTATTGTGATTGATGACACAGCTTTTAGAGTGAGAAGAATTAAGTCAGAAGCTCTCT